ATGGAGGGGTTGATGGCAATATGTATTAAGAGGAATCAGACGTTGAAGAAATTGTTTCTAGCTTATCTAGGAGTGTCAGTATTGCAGGTCATGGTCGTATAGACCCATTTCTCTCAAAGCCTAAGTCAGAACAGATGGCCCTCAAAGGCATGGTGAAAGGGACGAGAAACATGTTGGGCAGATATGTTGGTAAATGGTTCTACGATAAAGGGATCCCCTTTGATGCAGCCAATAGCCCATATTTTCCACCTATGGTCAACGCAATCCAGATAGCCGGGCCCGGGGTAAAACCCCCGACGGCATATGAGCTCAGTGGGACAATATTGGATGAAGAGGTGGAGGAAGTTAAAAAGTGGATTGAATAATATAAACAGAGTTGGCCAAGGACAGGCATTACTCTCATGAGTGATGGTTGGTTGGATAAAGTTAGCAAAAAAGAGTTTTTAAACTTCTTGGCTTATTCCCCAAAAGGTACAGTTTTTTGTCTAACAAAGACGTATCAAAGATGAAGAAGGATGCAAACTTCTTCGTACGACTATATGATCAGATAGTGGAGGAGGTGGGAGATAAGCATGTAGTCCAGTTTATTACGGACAATGCACGTGCATGTGTTTCTGCAGGCAGCAAGTTGATGGATACGAGGAATCATCTTGTATGGACCCTGTGTGCTGCACACAGCATCGATCTTATGTTAGAGGAGATCGATGAGATCAAAATTGTGAAGGAGACTCTGCAAGAAGCGAGGTTGGTGTCAAGATTTATATAGAACCAATCTAAAATTTTATTTTTGTTCAGAGAACAGTCTAAGAAAATAGAGATAATCAAGCCTGCAGTAACCCGTTTTGCGACAGATTACTTGGCTGTGGACTCTATTCGGGAATCTGAAGGTGCATTAAAGAGATTGTTTACCAGTGAAGAGTGGTTAAATGACCGCCTCTCGAAGTCCAGTACCGGGCTAAAAGTGGACGGCATAGTCTCAAATAAGAGGTTTTGGTCTCGATATTCCAGTATCGTAGAGGCCACTGCCCCTTTGGTCACGGTATTAAGAATGGTGGATGCTGACAAGAAAGCTACCATGGGCATCCTTTATGAAGGTATCGAAAGGGCCAAATCAGCTATTGGGGACAAGTGTAGTTTTACTAGTAAAGTGATCGAGATTATACAAAAAAGGTGGAACACCAAATTTAGACGTTCAATTCATTATGCAGGTAAATATATATTTATATCATTAGATGTTTCATTCTAAATTATTTTTTTATTAAATTTTAAATGACATTTCTCTATCTATATATTTTTTAGGTTACTACTTCAACCCAAAATTTTTCTATTTGACACCTGAACATCCCCACAAAATTATGGAAGGATCAGATACATTATTGTCAGGTCGGAGAGAAGCCATCGAAACCAGGTAGCAGCAATAAAAGAGGTATTATTTAATATTTGGGTAAGAACTTGATTGAGTTGTTATATTTGTGAGGAATAATGCACTAAAAATATTTTGTTTTAGCTCCCTATGTATAGGGATGCTATAGGATCCTTCGAAACTAGACTTGTCAGGAATTCTCGAACTAAGATGGATCCAAGTTATCCCCTAACTAATATTTTGTTCATTCATATATTTAATCTGATGAATTGTTTTTGCCCTTACAATGCTTTTTACATTTTAATCCAGCTGAATGGTAGGAGATATATAGTAGTGATGCACGTCACTTAAAAAGGATAGCAATCAAAGTGCTCTTCCAGACATGTTCTGCTACTGGCTGTGAGCGAAACTGGAGTACGTTCCAATGGTTGCACATTATAGGAGGAATCGACTCGCTTCGAAGAAGCTTCATAAACTAGTCTACTTTCATTACAACTTAAACCTCCGAGAGCGACAAATAAGAAAGAAGTTTGAAGACTATGGGCCGATAGACTTGGACACAACATTTGTCACAGACACAGCAGAACAATAAGTAGTAAAAGAAGAGGAGCCAATATTGCACAAGAGAGCGTTCCTTGAAGTTATCGGCGAGGAAAATCTTGAAAAAGGTGATGAGCAGCATGAAAGAGGAAGTAGCCCGCCAACATATCCACAGTTTGTCGGAGATGTCGGTGATATTGCACCTAATGAAGGAGAGTGGGAAGGGGGTCTAAGGGAAAATGAGAGAGATGATGATTCTGAGGCCATCCAATCCCAGCCAAATTATTCACATATCGAGTCTCAACAACAAGATGGTAGGGATGAGCACGATAGTGTAGGTGAGCATGAAGGATGGACAAGCTTTGGGGATTTTAGGATTAAGACCACAACAAAACACTAACGCTCAAGGATTTGGGTATAGTCAAGTGCCCACTAATTTGGATGATTCGTTTTTAGAACGAGTCAATGAATTGTCACGTGAATTCAATCAATGGCACCGGCATGACTAAAATGAAAAACGACGTCGTCTGTCATTTTATTTTTAG